TCAAAAATTCAATGCGAGCTCTAGATACACAAGGTCGTCATAGTCGCAGAATACCTAAACGCCGTAATCATGCCACGCCAAACCCAACTGCGATACCAACGCCCGTAACATCATCTAAACTATAACGAGACAGCAGAATTCCTTTCACGCCCTCTCATACAGTCCGATAATCTCACTATCCAACTTCTTCACCGCCCGGTGATTCGTTCCAAACACGTCATCCGCGCGTACAAAATGGAACAAGACCTGCACCAAGAACATAGGCAGCGTATCGAAAACGTACATGTACACCTCATGCGAAGCCAGATACCCGCTATGACCCTGTCCAAACTCGATGACGCGGAAGATGCAGCGAGCGATGATGACAACAGCCGCGATGGCAAGGAGTTTGTACTGCCGTAAAATTAGTATACCGTTCGTCGACAGAAGAGATGAGAAGAAGGAAAAGCAACTTACCAAAGTCGGCCACGCATACTTCCCATACTTCGGCACCGTATACCTCTCAGGCGCACTCCTCATCCTGAAATAGAATATGGCACTAACCACGACAAAGAAGCCGAAGAACGCCAACTGCACAAACAACCCCAGCAGCATGATCTTCTGTCCCATGTCCGCCATGTCCGCCTGCGCCATCATGCCGCCACCACCAGATTGCATGAGAAATGCAACGACATCGCCGCATACGAATATCTTGGTCACTAATGTAGGTCGGATGACGGAAGCGTGTTCGGCGTTTACGAAGACGACGAGGCGGCCGTAGATCATGTAGATTGTTGCGGCGTAGAGCGAGGGCGGTAGGATGATGAAGAGCGATTGCATGATGTAGGGCATTAGTTCCGAGGGGGATTGCGCGGAGAGGTAGCGGGCTGCGTAGCCGATTGTCATCACTGGTTGAAGATTATTAGCGGAGTGGGCTGTTAAAGGACGAGAGAAGGAGAGACGTACTTATTGATCCGATTACAAAGGCTGTATAGAACCATGCGCGGCCTCGGATCATTTGGAAAAGGTGGTAGATTGTGCTTAGGCCGAAGAGGACAGCAAAGAGGATGGCGCCGACCTTGCTGGGATCGTAGGGAAAGAGAGCGTATGCCTCTGTGTCTGTTGACGTTTCGTTTGCCATTGTGATGCTTCAGGAATAAAGTATGGCTGGAGGTGCCTAAGAAGGTTGACGCAGGGAGAGAAGGAGCACGCCGTTCCGCAGCACACGGGCAGTTGTCGTAAACGAATGTAGAAGAACTGGAAGTATGTATTGAAAAGCGACAGGACGAAGACGAACGGAATGAATGTGTGGCTTGTAAAATCCATCATCACAGACATCATTCCTCCTTATACAACTGCGACCATCGCAAGCTGCACCCAAAAGCGCAAGAGGCCCATGTAGTGATCCACTCCGAGACGAATACGCGGATAGCCCTACGAGACGGAGGCTGTGCACTCAGGAACGAGATGCGGGTACCCACTTCGCGTACCCTGAAACCCCTGCATCGCCCGCCCGTTACACTAGATCCGGCGCTACGACGATACGATATACGATGCACGTCTAGAAAATTGTATGCTTGGGTTGAGATGTCTATTCGATACCTCTAAGCCCGCTATGTGACGTTGTCATACCCCCGCCACGTGCCGGAAGTACCGGTCAAAGATTGGCGCGACGATTCTATCATGCTCCTCCACTACCCTCTTATCGCCCTTTACTATCCCCTCTTTCGTCTCGATAACGTCGAAAAGCCTTCAACAATTCCTGCATCTAAATCGATGTTGACTGCTGAGGTCGCCAGTGTGCATTGTCTATTTCCGCTTGCGTGAGCCCGGCAAAGGCAGCCGCATATTTGCTTGCAAGCCACTGCTCCACATGCGACATGGCCGAGTCGACCACGATTAAAGGCTGGCTTAGGGTATCATCTTCCGGAATTGATTCTGCGTGGTCCTCATGGCCGTTGTAGTCCTTGGGTTTCTCTTCATCCACTGGCGGTTGCGATTGCGCAGAAGCGTGAGGACTCACAGGTGGCGGCGGACCGTCCTCATGAACGTTGCAGTCCTTGGACTCCTCTTCATCCGCCGGCAGTTGCGGTTGCGAAGGAGTGAGAGAACTCACAGATGGCGGCGAGCTGGCCCTACGCCTGTGGCGAGTTTCGGGAGCCTCCTCGTCCATCGGTCTCCTTGTTTGCGCAAAGGAGTGAGGGTCGACAGTTTGTGCGATCTCTGTGGTGGAGCTTTCATTCTTTGCGCTGGGCGCAGGTGTTGATTTTGCACCAGCAGCATCTTCGCATGGCGCGAGGTCCATGGGTTTCTCCTTCTCTGCCAGATGTTCCGATTGCGCAATGTCTCGAGGGTCCGCAGGCAGTACCGTCTTCTTGATCGGACCGCTGTTCTCTGTGCCGGATGTGGAAGTCGATCCCGCACCCGCAGCATCTCGAGATGGCGTAAAATCCCCAGATACCCCCTTATCTGCCGGACGTCCTTGTTGCGCAATTATTTGAGAATCCACAGGCTGTACTGTCTCCTTGGTAGAACCGCTCTTCTCTGTGCCTGATGTGGAGGTCGTTCCTGCGCCCGCAACGACCTTGGACGACTCCAAATCCTTGGGACTCTCTTGAATAACTGGTGGTTGTGATTGCATAGTCTTGTAACGGCTCGCAGGCCCTACGGTCTTCTTGATGGACTCGCTGTTCTCTGTGCCTGATGTGGGAGTCGATACCGCGCCGGCAACAACCTTGGACGGCTTTAAGTCCTTGCATTCCTCTTGCCTTACGGTTGGTTTTGATTCCGCAAGGGTGTGAGGGCTCGCGGATTGTGCACTCTCCTGGATGGGTTCACGGTTCTCCGTGGCAGTTGCGGTACGCGGTTGCGTGTCGACAGCCTTCGTAGACGGAGCGACTTCTTGATGAGAGTTGCGCCCCATGTCATTCTCCGTAGGCTTGAAAAGCGCTGACCAGGATGTGGGCTTCCCGCGAGTAGTGTTCCTGTGTTCTTTGATTGATTCGGTGCTACCCTCACCTGGTATTAGAGCAGACAATCTCGATATTTTAGATCTGAGATAGTCCGCCCGTACCTCTCTCGATTTCATTTCAGCTCTTGCCCTGTCCAACTGTGCATCGGTAACAGCAGTTGCATAGCCTCTCTCTCTGTACGCATCTTGGATACTCTTGCGATCGTCGATGCGCTGTTTCTGCTTCTGCTTTGGTCGCAGTTTCGCGCGCCCTTGCACCTTTGACCAGCTACCCGGGTCATTCAGAAGACTCTCCTCCATGGCCTTCTTCATGTCATCTTCACTATCGGTATGGAATGCTAGCTTTCCGGCTGACTTCCTAGCGGGTTTCGACGGCTTGGCCATCAAAACTTCGTACCTGTTGCTTGGATGCTCTTGAACCGTCTCTTGATTGGTAGGCGCTTCATCGCTAGGAACCGAATCAGCCGCAGACAAGTGGCCACCAAGGTCACCACCGTCGTTGATAACACTGCTGCCAATAACACCGTCGTTATCCTTTTCGGCGTTTCCAGTAACACTGTCACCACCGTCATCGGCCTTCGCGACAACGGATGGCGAAGACTCCTCCACCGTGATTGAGGCTGCCTGCTTAGTAGCGTCGGATTTTCCCGCCTTGCCATGTTTCTTCTCCCATCTCGATTGCTTCTTTCTTTGCTTCTTTAACTGCTCTGTTGACTGCTTCTGCTCGCTCTCCTCCTTCTCTTGCAGCGTTGAAAGGGGTGTAGGTCCACAAGGTGTAGGCGTAGTCGATAGCTCTCGAGATAAGCGCTGCTTTTTGGTATGGGGCTCTTCCTGGGGTATAGCTTGCTCTGGGGATGTGTGTTGTTCTTGAGTTACAGACTCCTTTTGCGGTGTCGTGTCGTCCCTCTGTGGAGGTTGTTCAAGAGACACAGGAAGGTCTTGAGATGTGCACTTCTCTTGAGCAACTGGCAGCTCCTTCTCATCAGGCAGCTCCCCCGATTTGGCACCTTTACGTTTCCTCGGCTTGTTCTTCTTTTTCGGTTTCTTTTGCTCCGCTGCTACAACTTCATCGATAACTGATGCGTCGAAGTCCATTCCCTTCAGTAGAACACCCTGTCGAGCTTCTGTGAAGAAATATACCCAGGTAACAATGGTTTCGATTGAGCGTGGTCGAGTAGCGTACTCTGGAAATTTGACTACATCATGGCTGTGGAAGTTCTGCACGAGGCTGTGCCATATGGATTCGCCACCAGGATGCCTCTCTTCGAGGTAATCGAACAATTTCTTTCGAGCTTTCGCGCCATCTAGGCGTAAATCGTAGATGACGTCGATGTTCTCAAGACGAAAGGAATCGATCCAGAGGAATACACTTTCTTTTGTAACCAGAGGTCTAGTATAGATCTCAAGCACCCTCATCGCGTTCCAAAGGTATTGGTCAACGTGGTCGAAATCTGGGGCTTTTATCATTCTCTGAAACGCTGCTATTCCGTCTCGTCTGACCCTTTGGCGAATCTTTGCAGGTGCCTGAACGTATCTGTCGAACGAGGGTTTGTGCACCTTCAGAACCCCACTTACAGCGCACCACAATACTTCGAATGGTTGGAGATCGGGCCGTTTGCGAGTCAGAAAGAGGATGCAACAACGCATGTCATAATCGAGCATTGCACTCAGGTGTTGCCTAGAGTCTTGATACTCGTGGCTCATCTTCGTGGCCACGCCGAGCTCAAGATCTGCGAGCAGGCCGCGTGCCGCAAATAATGGTATGACACATTTGGTCATATGATCGGGGGGCAGCATGTAGTTGTAAAGGATGGTGTTAGGATCAGGTTTAGCCTAAGGATGAATGTACAAAGTCAGTAAATGTTTCACATACGATGCGTACATGAGGTATCACTACCTTCCATTGAACTTGGTTGTTGTTGATCTCGAAAGAAGCGTCCCAATAGCCCGTACATTGAGGATTGAAGAGTGACATGGGCATTTGACATTTCCGGATCTTTCGGTCCAGCCTTGGAAGACTAGGCAGAAGGTGGTACTTGACCATTGGGTACTATACGTTGTCCAAGTCCCTCGCATCGGCCTCTTCAATAGCCTCTGCTCTCAACTCGTAAAAGTTTAGATCTAGAAAGTCCCCAGAGCCCGGAGCGGCCTGAACGACTGATGATTGTAGCTGCTGAACGGACGATCCGGGAAATGGTGCAGTGGTATCCGAATCATCCCTCGGTTCCAGCGACGGGTGGGGCGGATCAGGCTCGATAGCTGGTGCTTGAGGCTGCTGAGAGTCCTTGTTGGGATGCGGCTCGATGGCTCCGGCAGGTGTGCGCTGCGCCAACCTGAAGAGCGCATTGCGGTATTTCTCCTGGATCTTCAGATGGGTGAAGAAGTTGACAGGCAGCGGCCAGTAATTGTCGGCGATGTGATGGCATATAGCTCCCTCCAACGCACCCCGGCGGTCCAGTGGGACTGTTTCGAGGCAGTCCACGATAAGCTGGCGTATCGGTAGCAGCTTCTGCTTAAGAGCCTGAGCATGCGTCTCGTTGTTGAGGGTCTGATTGTGGTCCTGTAGACTCTCGGGTGTCAACGCCTTCAGTTCCTTCAGGTCGTCGAGAACGGGTGACAGTATTTCGATTATTAGGCTCTTGTCGTCATATTGAATTTGCGACTCCATCTGCGCTGTGGAGTGGTCGGTATGGCAGGATACTTCTGTAGGCGATAGGAACCGATTGCGGTATAACTTGCTAAGCCTGAACGACTGGAGGACGGACAGCCTAGGGCCTGAGCTGTGTATGACTGCCGGTAACGATGGGCTATGAATAATCGGTAGTTCGGCGACAAAGGGAGTCCCCGGACGTGGTGTTACTGAAGACGTGGCGGCGGAAGCATCATTGCCATCCATGGTTGGCGGAAAGTCGCCTCCACCCTCTTCGATGCGGTAAGAGCGTTCCGAACCGAGTAGCGGCGTAGTGTCGCCTATGGCTGCTTCCTCATCAGGAATTACCACGCGCCTACCAAAGCCCCACCTTATTCCGTGCATATCAGCGTCAGACATTAGTTCACAGCTTCGAGTGATTAGATTGAGGAGAGTGGAAAGAAAGGTCGATAGTGCGCAGGTCACGTATTTAAGCGACATTGGCTTGCTAGTTATGCGATATCGCCGGGCCACGTGGTGGGTTAAGAAGGCGCAAGTCGGAAGGAGCGGTCTGGGGCAGGGAGTCGCGGCTGTGATTGTGACAGCGTTTGTTTGCTCGACGGCCGGACTAGCAAATAGAACTGGTGGAGTCAGAACAAGCAAGCAGCGCGAGGAACGAGTTTGGGAATTCATGAAAAGTACGACAAAGAGAGAGGTAAAAGTGAGACACGAAGGACTTATATGTACAGGTCGATTCCAGGATCATCTAAGAACAATGGAATGTATGTATACAAATAGTACAATGAGCGTGCTCAACTTAGCGGGCATGTCTCATAAAATCGTTGACTTACGCGCTCATGTCTTCGTACTGTGACGTGTCGCTGGCCCTATTATAGCTTGCCTGGAAACAAGACTACCCTCCATGGTTTGAGTGGTGGACCATCGACCTGGAGTCGTTCACAGCCGGAAGGTCTAAGTCAGCTCCTAGGTCTTCCAAGGCGTCAAGGAGCCACCACAGCGTGACCGTTTGGAGAAACCAACGGGACAGTGGTATGCCCTCTGCTAGTCCGAGCATCATCGTCCTTCTCTCCAACCGATGGGTATGAGCGCTGCCGCAACCTGTCCCACACCCCTCTCTGTCGCAAGTAGGTTGAATTGCGCCGCCGCATTCCTTGTGTCTTGGACTTCTAATCGTATTCCCTGGTCGTTGAGGTACTTGCGAACCGCGGGCGCAAGAGGGACGGTACTGGGGCCGGTGCCAATGATGAGTAGATCTGTCGCTCGCTGTCAGACCACGTACGTCACGCAATCGTTACAGGCGATTACAAACGTACCAGGCTTCGGATATAATAACTCCAACACTCCCCAAGCCTGCTCCTGCACTTCCCATTGTCCCTTCGCGTTCAGCAATTTGCCTGTCATTGCATCATCGCCCGTGCCTCCTTCAGCGACGGTACCTTCTTTCCTGCCTTCGCGAAGCCATGGCTTCCATCGATATGCCTCTCCGCCTATCAAGAGAATGCCGCATCCGCTAATGCGCATCTGGTTGTTGAGCGCGAAGCCATCGCCTGTGCAGGCGTCGATGGATGTGGCGGGAGCGACGGTGTTTCGGAGGACATCGAGAGCACTGAAATCGGTCTGCGTGTCTTCGTCGCTTTTTGGGCCGCGATCGCGCGTTCTTGGAGGTTTGGATTGGAGGAGGGCGGGGCGCGTCGTGTGTAGGCAGCGTGCCTGTCGTGCAGACGCGATCACCGAGGGTCTGCATTTGGGCAGATTACGACATGAGGTTTGGATCGTACATCTTGAGAATGCACGGGTACACTGTAGTAGACTTCGTTCCATGGTTGTGATATGCAATTGATTGTTGTGGGGGGTGTCTATGTACAGGCCAAAACTTATGCTAGAGCTGATGATCGATGCTGTCATCGAATCCAAAGAGAGCTCGGACCAGCCGGCAAGCGAGACATCCTCATCAATTGTGCCTCATCTTGCACTCCCTTTGCCATCGCAACTTCCAGGCCAAATGCTCAAGTCATGGGCCGCTTCAGTGAACAATGAAACCAGCGTTGCAACGGAATCAACTCTCATGCGATGCGCTCATAAGCTTTTGTTCCATGGATGCTTTCCACCCCAGACCACCCAATGCGACCGACCTTGATCGCGAAGTAGGCAGTGATGCTCAGGGGCTCTCATGCTTCCATCAGCGAGCATGTCGGATGTCGTAGTTTTCTTCTTCGTCGTCAGAGTCGAATGCCGACGGAAGATCTTCACAGTTCAGTCCTTCGAGCGCGAACTTTTCGGCCATCGTCTGTTTCTTCTCTTCCTTGATGGACACCATCTCGAATGACCTTGTAAGCTCGGAGTTGGTGTTCACTCGCTTCAGCGTCTGCCTGGTAAAACGGACGGGCGAAGTCGTTGGCTAAGAAGATACGAAGTCAGCGTTTGTCTCACACTCAGTTTGTACAGTGATGTATATCCTTACCTTGGGTCTGGCACCCTGATCGCCTTGCTCGCTCACAGTCGCGATGCTTGTTGATGAGTTCCGCTTGCGCTTGCGAAGGTCTGGAATGGGTTGCGCGTTGTATCTGGGGTCTGGCTTTGGCTGGTTCACACCCAAATAGCACCATTCGGACGTCGGAGGGTTGAAGGTGGATGTCATCCCGCGATCCATGTACAGGTCTGAGGCCTTGAGCTCTCCGGTCGGTGTGACTTGCTCGGGCGCTGCAGTGAAGCCACCCCACTGCGAGAAGGCGATAGTGCGGCAGCCGGGAGGCATGATCGAGAGAGCCATCTCCGGTCCAAGAAGCTCTCGCAAGAACGCACTGCTGGCGGATGATGCTTTGCGCGCGAGATGGGTGGGTTGTGGGATACCGCGCTCGTTCGTAGACGGTGCTGTGCCTGTCGCAAAAGGGATATACTCTTGCGCAAACATCTTGAGATGCCTTGCTGATGCGTGCAGTTTCGTGGTTGTCAGACTGAAAGATCCGGCTCGCAGCTGATCGCAATCTTTTGGACTGGAGGTCGGTGTTTGGAGTAATTGGGAAGTGAGCTCGGTGGTAAATTTGCAGCAGAGCTTGAAAAAGATTTTTCGCCATAAGGGAGTAGGACTACCTGGTGAAGGAGAAACAATGCGGGTGGCTGGTATGGATGGCCCATTGTCTGTTCTATTGTCACCCACGGTATGTGGTCGCCTTCACCTGCCAAGCCGACCAATAAGAGCAGGTCGAGATCAAAGCCATACCGCCGCGTTCACTTTTCAGTGACAGGATTGTCAGTCGCCGTGGGATATTTGGAGACTCGTGGGGAGTTTATAAGAGAAAAGGATGCGTTGTGAGACAGCGATGTGACTGTTTGTCGTATGGGGTGGAAGCAAACCGCCACGCCTGACGAGGCAGTCACTGGCGCCTATCGTTTGCACGCGTCGTCGCTGCACACCACGACGCCGGGCATGGTCTTGAATGTAGAACCGCTTGGGGTGAAAACACGCAACACTGTCAGTCACTGCCCCCACGCCGTGGTTCTCGCATGCTGGTGTCTATGCAGCGTTAGTACGATCCACCCAGGGGTACAAATCTCTTCGTGAATAACTTTAGGGAGCAAGGACCTCTTCGTCGAGCCTACGCGGATAAGGGCCTTTTGCCTACTGGAATTAAGACTGACAGACGAGTAGGACGCAGCAAGATGGGAGGGGAGGACTAAGGATTCCGCCTGAGTGCCTAGAGTTTAAAGGGCACCTCTAGAATCGAATTCGTTTCTCAAAAAAGAAGAGCGGGGTCTTCCGAGAGTTCTGCGCCCACGAGACGGTGTAGGCATAGTGCGTCATCGGTCACGGGAAATCGCGTCACGCTCGTGCGCTCTTTCCGCGACTAACAAAGGCGCATTTCGCTGCCTGTTCTCGTTGTTTACCCAACCCCGCTTGACACCTAACCTGAAGACTGCGCTCCCCTCTCTACAGGTCTCTTCAGGTTCAACAGTGAAGATGCCTTCCGACGCGTATGTACCTTCACATATCGCCCTACACCTTAGCTGACCGATATACAGAGGCAAAGGCCAGAACTTCCAGACAAGCGACGCCAAGAAGGGCAACAGCAGTAATTCGGGTGGCAAGACGGTTGGCGATAAGACCAAGTTCGAGCCCATGCTCAATTGCTGCCAATTCCTCGAGCTGCCTGCTGTTATGTCCTTCTTTTGCCTATATAGCGCTTTGGTTGGCTAACTATTCGCAGAAATCCGCAATCGCATATACCACTTCGCCGAAGAAGGGGTATATGATGACGACGATGATCTAATACGACCGCTTCTGCTCAAGCGTTCTAAGGTCGCAAGTGACAGCACTAGCGTGCCGCATCTACTGAGCACGCTGCGTTACCGTGCGCTCGCTCAAGTCTGCAAGCAGATTCGGACGGAGTATCGGCCTATGTGGCTTCGTCAATCTCGCTTCTGCGTGGAACTCCCAACACTCGCTCATTTCATCAACGCATACTACCCCAAGGTCGCAGATTACCAGAACGCTCCAAAGCTTCTGCTAATATCCTGGGACCACGGTCAGCTTGGCGATGAACTCGAGGAAGGTTACGGTGGGGATGAAGAGTCTATGGAGGACGTTCTGACAAACATCACCCTCCTGGCCCGCCTACGCGCACACTGCCCAACCTTTACTGTCAACTTCGCCTCCCGTCAGGTACTCGAAGACGATGTGCCCAACGTAGCGTGCTTCGAATGTGGACATAGCATCCATTGTGGATGCGGCATGGACTGCGATCACGAGGACACTTGGGATGAAGTGCTTTGGCAAATGAGGTGGAGTTATGGGTATCTCGACGCACTGTATGCCTTCCTCGCCAACACCAACGAAAATTGGCTGAAGATGCTTCGCAGTACCACCAACCTACAACCTCGTGTAGAGTTCACTTTTCACGTATACACCCAGCGTCTCACTATCTACATTCGTTTTCTGAAAGGCCAAGCTCCCAAGGGGTTTAAATTGAAGAGCATGTACAACTCTGCTCTTGGCTTCCTCAATCACTGGGGTATGTTGGATCTCAAGGCTAACGATTCGATCGACTATGTCATCGGCGAAGCATCTGGCAAGTTCACGCGCCACGATGGCGAATGTCCTAGCTATGTCAGCACCTACAACCAGATCCACCTCGACAGTTCCACCATCGCTGTCTGGAAGAAAGAGAAGGAGGCCAAGACATCCGCGGCTTGAGTCTTTGTGAGTTGTGCACGACATACATCATTATGGTGCATATCAACCGTAATAA